GCCCCGCACATGCTTCCCGCTGCCAGACGTCTGTGCAGCGCGTCTCATGCGCAGCCACAAGTACGTGGGCGACTGGCAGGGCAGCCTCCGCAGCTCGATCGCCCAGCGGCCCCCTTGGAACCCGAGCGATTTCCAGCGGCTACTTTTGGGCGGCGTCGATTTCGACGCCCGCCAGATCATCGGCGAGCAGTGGAAGGAAGCTCGCATTATGCAGTTTGCGTCGGGGGACGAACCGCTGCTCGCAGCAGACGCAGGGCAAGGCCAAGACGGGGCGCTCGATGATTATGTCATCGACGCCCCCGAGGGTGCCGCCAGCGTCGCTGAGGGCGATTCACAATCGGCGCTGTTGGTCACGCCCGAAGAGGCCGACAGCGACTTCTCCTGACATATCCAACAGGTGACGTTGGCAGCCTGGCAGGAAGTCGAGGGGCAGAGGATCTGATCCAGGAGCTGCAGGACCTGGAGGTCGCCGACAGTCAGCAACCTATCTCCGCTGAGCACGCCGCGGCCAGCCTTGGCCCCGCGCCGCGCGAGTGCCCCCGCGCCCCGCCGGCCTAGCGCTAGCACCAGAGCGCGCGCGCAGCGCCACTACCTGCGCGGCGCCTCCGCGGACGACAACGCCGCTATCGAGGAGGAGGGCGAAGGGGGGCGATGCGCGGAGTTGCACCTGGGCCCGGGGGCGCGCGCGGAACCCCTGGGCCGCGACGAAGATCCGCCCCGCAACTGCGTCGCCGGCAGGTGCTCCTGCGACGGCCGCGCGCGGAGTCTATGCCGCCGTCGAGACCGCGGCGATCGAGCGCGACACTTATCTCCCGACTACAGACGAGGCGCCGAGGCAGTCGAAGGAAGTCGCCGCCGCCATCCCCGGGGTGCTCACTATCTGGGCCGAGTGCAAATGTTTCGAGAGGCGCCCCCTCGAAGGCGCCCGAACCCTCGCGGGCCCCAGACGCGCATTCAAGTAGAAACGCTGGAAGGGATTGGACGGCAAGACCGCTGGGGTCACCCCGCGCCACGCAGCGCCGCGAGGCTTCCGCGACGTGGGCGCCGGACCTTCCGAGGCGTTCGCCGGGCGGCGAAGCGGGCGCCGCGACGCGCGCTGCGGCGCGCCGCCTGGGCCGGGCGCGCGTCGCCGTGGATGTCGAGAGAGCGTCATTGCAAGGCATGGCCTGCGCCGAGACGCAGGATCAGGGCGAAGCGCCCCGCGAGGCGAACTTCGCCCAGCCGCCCGGCGGCGCCGCCATTCTCAGGCAGGTGGCAGGGAACGAGCCCTTCGACGAACGGGCCGAGCGCCTGCGCTGCATCGTGCCGGGCGCGGGCTGCAAGGGCGCGCCCGGGGCCTCTTCCACGTAGCTCGCCGGGGCCACGCGCTCGCCAGAACGCGGCGCCGAGCGGAAGACGCAGGGCCCAGACCTCGAGGTCAAGCGCGAGACGCCTGGCGCTTATGGCGCTGGCGGCTCGGAGTTAGCGCCCGCGCCGTCCAAGCGCGCCGCCGATCTGAAGGGCGCGGGGCGCACGGGGCACGTTGACCGGCTGATCGGCAAGATCACGAGCGACGTCGGGGAAAATGAAGAGGGCGATGACGACTTCACCATCTGCGGATCACGCCAGCACCGCAGCGCCGAGGGAAAAGCGACGCTCGACCAGGACGAGAACATCGACGCCCCGATCCCGTCGGGCACGTCGACCTGGCCACGGCGACGGCCGACGTGCCGGCAGGAGATCAGCTTCCAGACGTCTCTGTCCCCCCGCGTGCGTCGTCGCACTGCCGGGGGCCGAGAACAAGGTGCTCGCCCGACGCGCGACGCAGCTCATCTCTGTAGTTCTGGCCGCGCAGAAGATCACGGCGCGCGCCGCCTTCCCAGCGATGGAGGGCCGGGCGACAACGCGCGCGCAGCAACGGGTCTTTCCAGCGGGAGGAGGAGATCGGCTGCGGCATGGGAAAGGGGGGGGGGGGGGGCGTATACGCGCGTCTGGGCAAGCGCCGCAGCGTTGGCAAATTGGTATACCACTTGCTCTACGCCGCTCACCGATCGCACAAGCTGGCGCGCCGGTCATCATTTGGCTCAGAGCTGCTCTCAGCCTGCGGCGCAGCTGACGGCCTGCAAGAGCACCCCCTGGCGCTCCATGAGATGGCGCGCGGACCTGCCACAGCCGAGGAGATCCGGAGGCTGACGGAGGAAGGAAGCCATGCGGCGCAAGCCGAGTCGGTGGTCGACGGCATGTCCATCTTCTCGGCCCTGGACGTGGACCCTGTTCGACCATCTGAGAACGGCGTGGCCGGACATCTATGGTGGTGTCGCACCATGCAGATCGACGACATTCTATGGCGCGACCCCAGAAAAATGAGAGTCAGCCCCATGACAAAGAGGAGCATTGACAGAGATCACATTTTGGGCATCATGGATGGCAAGCCTAGCCACGACCGCGCGACAGTCAAGCTGAGCGAGGAGGAGTACAACCGAAGCGTACCAAGCGCGCAGCACAGCGATCTCACCACCAAGGAGAAGGGCGACCGAATGATTAAATCACCAGGCGCCCACAAATCCTGGATTATGTTCGCGAATGAGACGTCCGCTTTGGGTGGGCACTCCTATGCAAACGCGTTGGGCGGACACTTCTATGCAAGCGCATTGCAAACTCATTGGGTGGACCCTGTTACGCTAACCCGGTCGGGGGGACACTTGCATGTAAACTCTGGGCTGGGTGAGACGCCATCCGTCATCTTGAATTAATTATTTGCCTTCGAAGTGCGTTCCAAGGCCTAGGACATCCGACGACAAGCCACAAGACGAGAACACCGCCCAACTTTGCGGGCGATCAGGACCGAGAGGAGGAGAGTGGTAAAGCATGCAAGTGAGAGAATTGCTGCTGTCATTAACTATATTAGTGGAGTGGTCGATGATCTGACAGTTGAGCATGTTAAGAGAGTGCTGCGCCCATCAACTATGTTGATGGACTGGCAGTCCTCACGAGGGCCTTGCTCCATATAGTCGTCTACTAGGAGGAGTCGGCTTGCAGGGGGGGGCGGGCGCGGGGGGGGCGCCAGCGACCGCGCCGATTCCATCGCGGCCCGCTGCCCCTTCCGGGGGCTCTCAGGAATCCTCCGGGCCCAGTCGGCCTCGCAGTCGGCGCTGGCGTCGTCGCCCGCGAGCGCCAGCCGGCGGGCGGGCCGACCTTGTTGCGCATGTTTGGCGCGAGAGACCCGCGCAGGCCTCGCGCTGCGCCCGCGCCCCAGGGCGACGGCCCAGGCCCTTGTAGCCTCCCGCGCTGACGCGATGGCCTCGCGCGCGGCGCAGGAGCGGGCGCCGCCGACCGTTCGGTTCGGCCCCGCGCACTTCTAATGCGAGAACGCAAAGCCCCCCATGCTGCTCGCGCGCTTTGCGCGCTGAGCAATGCTATGCAGTTGCGACGGCCGCGCGTTCAATTTGAAACCGCAACGCAAGTTTCCATTCCCGCGCGCGGGGCGGTGCATGAACTTACAGATGCGCCGACGGTCGAGAATTCGCGCGCGCGCCCGCGCCTGCCATATTGGGCGCGCGCACTGGGCCCGGAAATCTGTGGCTCGGCCGCCCGATGCGCCCCAAAAGTCCCCCCGCCCCCCCCCCCGCCCCCCCTCCCCCTCAAAACTCTTCCGCGCTCCTGGAAAAACCATGCCGCCGAGGCGGGAGCTCGGGCCGCGGCCTGATGGTCTCCTGGGCACAGGGGAATCAAAGGAATCAGTACGGAATCAGTACAGAATCAAAACAGAATCGGCACAAATGCGACCCCTGATTCTAGCGGAATCAAAAGAATCAGTACGGAATCAATACGGAATCAAAGGTGGAATCGGCGATGGAACCAGAATCGGCCAGAACGGGGAAGTAGGCCAGAATCGGTGCCAGGACTCATGCAGAGAGGCCTTTTTCCCGCGAGTTCACTGCGGCGGGTGCGCGGCGCGGGCGCGCCGCGCGACTTCGCTGGTTCAGCGAGGCGCGCAGTCGGCGTTCAGAGTGAACAGGTTCTTTTCAGGGCGATATCCTGGCGGCGCGCTGGCGCATTGCGCATTTGCGCATTCCTGGCGGGCTGTTTGAGGGCGACCGGGCAGCGTCGGCCGAATGGCCCGCAAATGCCGCGCGGCCAATCTCGCGCCCCGCGCGGCCACGTCGACCGCCGTGTGCCGCGGCGGCCGCGCGCCCAGGACCGCGCCATTGCCGCGTTGGGTTGGACGGCGCAGCGCCCGTCCTCCAAAAATCGTCACATGCATATCGCGCGTGTCGAGCCAGCAGCAATCGCTCCCAGAAGCAGCCTCGACAGGCGCACCGTGCCCTCTGTCGCCCGGTTCCGATCCAAATCATAGTTTCTTAGGATGCGCCTGCGCGAATGTGGGCGCGCGGGCAAGTAACGCGTGCGCGCGCTTGGCGCAGCCTGGGAAATCCAACATGGAGCCCCCCGGGGGCGCGGGGCGCCGGCGACGCCTCCGCCCGCCCCCCGCGCGCCCGACCCCCCCCGCAAGCCGACTCCTCCTATCGTCTACCGCCTGCTAACTATTTATGAAGGGCTGTTTCGTAGAACCCCCTGCTCTGTGCCTCCTCTCGTTGGGAGCTGCCTTGTACGCCCGTTACGCTGTGTTCTGGGAGTGTTCTGGGTGCTTCGCGCCTGGGATACCACCGAGGCACGACCGGCTCGCTTGAGCACCAGACTCGAACGGGAGGTTCGTATGCGTTGCTGGGTGGAGGCAGGGTTTGCCCGCCGCTATGTCAGGTCGACCTTCCGCGCCCGCCTTATTTTCGCCTCATACAAACCGCCTTATTCCGCCATCTCGCGTATCGAAACGTACACATCCACCGGATCCCTTATTTTTAGTCTCCGCCTCCTCCGCCTCTTCCTCCTCCTCCTCCCTCTATAATTCCCTCCTTTCCTCGTCGGCGTGTTCGTCGTCGTCGGCAAGCTCGTCGTCGTCGTCGTCGTTGTCGTCATTGTCGTCGTCGTCGTCCGGTGGACATCTATGCCTCCCAGATGGGGTCAAAGCAGATCGGTTCGGAGGATCGCGCCGCATCGCCGATGCATCGCCGATGCGGCTCGATGTGGGGCCCGGGTGTCTCTACGCCGTCGGCGCGCGATGCGCCGCGATGCTCGGACCCCATCCACTCGAACCCCACATTTGAAGCCTCTAGGTGGATAACACCGCGGTGTACATGGCGACCAGCCACTTGTCGGGCGTCAAGCTCATGGTTCTCAAAGAGCTGGCTCGTGTGAGCCCGTATCATATCGTGGTCGGGTACGACGTGAAGGCGAAGGTCACCATGGTGAAACATTGCGCTCCTGAAGTCGTGTGCGTTTTCCTTTGCGGGTCTTTTGGGGGGGGCGCTTCTGGAGCTTATCGTCGCAACGGCCAGACGCAGCTCGAAAAAACTGCTAGGAGGATTATTGGAGGGCTCCGTGGATCGGTTTCGAGCGGGTTCCCTGAAGAACGAGAGGTCTGAGGGAAGGGTTCCCGATGGTTTTCGCTACGCTCGGCCTCCCACAGCCCTTTCCCGTGCCCGCGGGCCGTCCACAGCTTGTTCAGCATGAGAATGTAGGATCGGGGAAGCCCCGGGTTCCAGCACCTGTTTCCTTCGGCCCTCTTCTCCCCACATGCCGAGAAGGCGTCCGTCCCCGCGAACGTCGAGGGCATGCTCCGGATGTCTGGGGGGGACGCTCGGGAGATCACGATCGTGCCCGCTTCGATGCCCGCCATGGTGGAGAAGTACGGCGACAAGATATCGAACTATTCGGGCGTCTACCAGGACAATCCGGCGAAGATAGCGGTGATGGACTGGTTCGCGTCCTCGAACTACGATTACTTGTGGCACGTGGAGGACGACACGTGGGCCCGTGGGTTTGACAGGCTCGCCCTGGAGGTGGCCTCGCGTGAGACGGACCTGATCATCAAGAACGCAACGTTCCTTCCCTTCTGGGCCGACGCCAGCAGCTCCTGGCGTGTCGGCGATCGGGCCAAGCTGCCGACCGGGAGCTTCGTGCACTGCCTCCCCGCTCTGTTCCGCATGAGCAAGCGATTTGCACAGTCCGTGCTGCGGGAAATCCTGGATTCGGAGAAAACGAATCATCACGAGGTTTGGTGGCCGCACGTCGTCCAGAAGGCCAACCTCTCTTGGGAGCCTCTGCCATTCGCCGACAACTTGCACTTCAACGTGGCGCACGACTCGGCACACAATGAGTCGCCGCTGTGCATGGAGGATCTTCGCATGAACGAGAGCCTATGGCTGGTCCATCCTATAAAATGCATCCATCACGGTTTGCGTGGTGAATGAGGTAAGCTGCGCGTCTGAGCCTGCGCTGGCCGTGCAACTCGCATGCATGCTTTAGGGAGTACATCTGTCAGGTGCCAGTTTGACTCGCATGTTCCATCTGTTCTGGCACCTGTGGCTCCGTGTACCGTAGCCATCTTTTCCGGCAATTGGTCGTTAGGCAAAGCGGTATGCGAACGGATTGGCGTGTGGGCCGAAAGGACATCCGGGTTCGGTCTCTTCTGCAGTGCTAATTTTGCGGTGGCCGCTCCGATGCACCCAAGAGTCTCAGCGGCATGCGCACGCTCACTGCCGCCGCCATCGTCGCGATCGTCAAGGCTGAGGTCATTGCCGCTTGGCGCCGCTCGTGTTATGGTTCCGCCCTGTTCGGGGGTTGCTAAAGGTGCTCCTGGCCCAAGGTGCCCCCAGCTTTTCGATCAATGTTGAAGCCCCTGGGGCCCTCTGGGCCTCGTGAACGGGTGCTCTGGAGGCCGTGGGGGCCTTCCTGGAAATCCTGGGGGCACCTTGGCCCAGGGGCACTTCTAGCAACACCCGACCTGTGTAAGCCGAAGGCTTGTGACATGTCGCGGCAGGCCCGCCCGAGGGCCCGAGCAGGGCCTTCCGGGGAGTGCCAAGCAAGAGTTGCGGCAAAACGGGCCGAGTCCGAGGCCGAAGGACACCGCCTGAGGCACCTGGGCATGCCGCTCCCCAAGCGACGCTTGCACTGCTTGGGTGGAGCTGCTCGTCTTGCAACTCAAGCCTGGTGGTTTCATCGTGGCCTACACCCATCATTCGAAGGGTTGGGTCTGAAGTCTTCCTCCTCCTGCTCGCTCCGCCTCCTCCATCTCTCCCCCACCGGCGTTCGATGTGTTTGTCTTCCTTCCCCATCTCTGTTAATTCAAGCTTCGCGCGGCCCGCTTAGCTTCGACCGGAAGAGGTGCGCCCTCGGCCCGCGGATCAAACAAGTGTTTGTCTTCCTTCGGCCGTGCAGGGGGAGGACCCCAGGCCTCGCCCACTGATTGACCGCCTCCGTACGCGGCACGCGTGCTGCCACCGTGGGCCCGACGCGGTGACCTGCTGCACTCGGGGTGCGCAGCAGACGCGGTGCCAGCCGCGTGGCCGTGCCAGCCTCGTGGTGCGGCAGGTGCGGCACAGCCTCGGTGTTGCCGCCGGTGCAGGCCGTGCGGAGCCGGCCGGAGGGGCGGCGGCGAGGCCCCGCGGGCGGCGGCCTGGCGCCGAGCCCCTGAAAGCCCCGCCAGCGGACGGGGCGCTCGTGAGTCACCACTCACCGAACCACCCCAACCCAACCCGAAGGCCTCAATTTGACCTCCATTTCCAGTTGGGGGGGGGGTCGGAGAACATCGAGAGAACACATATGGAACCCGCACCCCCCCCCCCACCCGAAATTCGGGTCTTCGGGTTGGGTTGGGGTGGTCTGGTAGGTAGTCAGTGAGGCGCCCGCGGGCGACCCGGGGCGGAGACCCGGGGAGCCCGGCCAGCGCACCAGGCGCACAATGGCGGCGAGCCCCACGGGCTCAAGGCGGGCCTCCAGAGGCCAGAGGCCTTGGACAAAGCCCGCCGTGCGCAGTTCGTGCAATCCAGATCCCAGGCTTCGAGGTCGTCCCTCCGATCTCTGCGTGGGCGTGTTCGGGTAAGAATTCGGAAGGGAATCCAACCCTGGCGGCGAGGGCCACCGCGGAAAGCCCAAACCGCCGAATCCTCCTCGATCTTTTTCGGCCCATTCCAGAAAGTTCGAGATCCTCGCGGCGAAGTGGGGCGGCGGTTTCGGCCGCAGGACCCTCGTCTCTTGCCTGCCGGCGCGCAGAGCGGGGTGGGAACCGCTCAGAAGCCCCCCCCATCTCCTGATATGCCCTCCTAGAATCGGGAGCGGAAAAGAGGGGGGTGATGACTAGGGGGGAGTGGATTTCATGGCGCGGGCCATGATTTTTTCTCAGATTTCATGGCGCCTCCTCTTATTTCATTACGTCCCAGGCCCCCCCGCTGGGCCGCGCACATGCCGCCGGTCATGATTTGCTCCCCCCCCTCTTGGACACCCCCCTCTTGGCCGCTCCCGATAGAAGCTCCCGGGCCCCTCCGAGAGGCCCCCCTGCCTGCCCAGAAGGAGGCCCCACTCGCCAAGCCCCCGACCCGCCCAGGAGTCCTGGAGTCCATCCTGGCCATTCTTCCGAGCTGCGTCCAGCCGTGGCGACGTCCAAGACAACGACGAAGACGCCGAGGAACGAGCTCCGGCCTGGGGGTGCGTCCTGGCCAGAGTAGGAAACCAGCCGTGGCGATCAAAGCGCCGTAGGACGCCCAAAAGGGCCCCCCAGGAACATCCAAAACCTGAATCCTCAAAACCCTAGATGGGAGGAGGAAGGGGAGGACGAGGAGGAGGAGGAGGAGGAGGAGGAGGAGGAGGAGGAGGAGGAGGAGGAGGAGGAGGAGGAGGAGGAGGAGGAGGAGGAGGAGGAGGAGGAGGAGGAGAGGGAGGAGGAGGAGAGGGAGGAGGAGGAGTGGAGGAGGTGGAGGAGGAGCAGCAGCAGAAGGAGGAGGAGGAGGAGGAGAAGGAGGAGGAGGAGTAAATGAGGAGGAGGAGGAGCAGCAGAAGGAGAAGGAGGAGGAGGAGGAGGAGAAGGAGGAGGAGAAGGAGGAGGAGGAGGCGCCTGCCGCCTGCCTTTGGCCGCGCCTTGCGCTTGTCCCCAGCCAGAGGGAGGATGCTACTGGCGCCCTCACACAAGTGAGTCGCTCATCCAGTCGGCCTGTGTCATCTTCGTCGGTAACGCCATCAATCCTCGGCTCAAGACGTCCAAGACGACGACCACGACCACGACCACGACGACCACGACGACCACGACGACGGCGACGACCACGACGACCACGACGACGACGACGACGACGACGACGACGAGAACAGTGTAGCGACACTCCCGCGCAGCAAAGAGCTGTCGTCAGCTCGGGCAGCATTCTGGGCCACGCCGCTCCGCCCCCCCGTCTTTAGGGCCCATTCCGATCCGCTTCGACCTCGATTCTGGCCGGCCCGATCCGAGCCGATTCGAATGTTCCGACGATGCGATGCGGCCCGCTGCTTGCATGGCGCTGTTGTGCGTCCTGACGCAGCCGACCCGATTCGATCTCGACCCCGTGCCGATGCAGACCCATCCGACGAACAGTTCGACTTCGATTTGCCGACTCGATGCTGACCGATGCTGAGGATCAGCCCAGCCAGGAGCGGCGAGGCGGACATCAGGACGCTCCCCGCCCGGCGCCCGACTCCGCGAGGTGCGAGGTGCGCCCCTCGCCCCCGCTCCTCCCCGGCCCCTTGTGCCGGGGGCCCTCCAGGCCGAGGAGGCCCCCTCCAGGGCGAGGGGCGAGGGCCGAGGAGGCCCCCTCCAGGGCGAGGAGGCCCTCTCTCATGGGCGTCCCTCGCCCCCGCTCCTCCCCGGCCCCTCGCGCCGGGGGCCCGCGGCCGAGAAGGCCCTGCAGGGCGATAGGTGCGAGGATCTGAAACGACTTCTCCGTATCCGCTGCGGGCCCGAGCCTCGCAGCGGCGACGACAGCCCTGCCGAGCAAGACTGGCGTGAAGTCGGGCCTGTCCCCCGACAGGGTGATTTTCGACGAAAAATAAAAAATACCCCCAAAATAGTAATATATACATATACATACATATATATATATATATATATATATATGATACAAAAAATATCCCCAAAAATATTCAAAAAATAATCCAAAAATAGTATGGGGACTATGTTTTAAGTATGTTTTTACCTTTTGGGGGGGGGATGTTTGGGGTATTTTTAAAAATTTCTCGTCGAAAATCCCCCTGTAGGGGGACACGCCCGACTTAAGACTGGCGGCCCTCGGCGGCGCCAGGCGCTGCTGCTCGCGCTGGCGGGGCCCGCGCCGCCCGAGCCCGCGCCGGCGCCGCCGCGCGGGGCGGGCCCGCCGGCCGAGGCGGCGCGGCCGAGGCCCGCCGCCGCGGAGGGGCCCTCCGTGGGGGCCCGGGGGAGGGGGGGCAGGTCCCGAGGCGGCCCATCAGTGGGTTCCGGCCAGTAGGAGGTGCAGGTGGGTCAAGCAGTGGCGAAGCGTCCTGGCTCGCCTATAGCCCCACCAAACAATGTTCTAAGAACCTTTTGTGGTTCCCACGGAATGTTCTTAGAACATTTCTGGCTGGGACTGTCTTGTTGTAACACATCGGGTTTATGTTCTAAGAACACTGTTCTTATTCTTCGAACATTTTGGGTTCTAAGAACATTTCGTCGTAGGATTATAGGAATGCCGGGACGGTCGGTCCCTGCTCAACAGTAGAAGGTGCAGGTGGGGGGGAAGGGGGCAGGTTCGAGGTTCTGCGCTGGAGACTGTTTTGTTTGTTTGTTTGGGGAGTTCCCGTAAAAGAGCGCATCTCTGGAGCGAAGAGCCGTGCCAGAGGAACCCTGGGAGGGGTCCAGGAGCGGATTTGGCCTCGTCCCCCCCTCTTGACCCCTTTTGCTAGGGCCTCGCCCAATTCAGACCCCCCATACGCCTCCAACCTCCTCCGGGGAGGGCGCGGGGAGCGGGCGGTGGGGCGGGGGGTTGCCAGCTAGCAGCAGTGGGTGTTCAAAGACCGTCGCACCAGCCCAATCCGCCACAGGAAAGTCACATCATCCTAGCTCTGGAGCGGTGGTGGTTGCTACGCTACCTCGCGGATTCTCTTCTGCATGCCCGTTCACTTCAACAAGAGGGGGGGGGCGGAAGGGTCGGGCAGGCTGGGCGGACGCCGTGCCCTGCGGCCCCGCGATCCCCGGGGCAGCCGGGGCGCGAAGGGCGACACTGCGACACTGGGGCCCCAGCTCCCCTCCCCCTCTCCAGTCTTCCCTCCCCCCGCCGCCGCAGGCCCCTCCCTGTGGGGGGGGGTGGGGGGCGGGGGGTCTCCCGGGCGTCCGACGTCGGAACAAAACAGCGAGGCGGAGATTTTGCACCGTTTTCCGCCTCCGGTCCAGGAGGGCCCAGGCCAGTCCGCCGCCTGCTCCGTGAAGCGAAGATGC